ACTTCCGCAAGTTTTGGTTATCTTCCGTAATTTAGGTTTACCTAGTTGTAGAGACTAGGTGCCGTCACGATGGTTCACAGAGGGAGAAACAGGGTCATGACAAACTGTGTATTAACCATCTTCTTAAGATATTCAATGATTGCAGTTGGATCCATATTTTGATGTTTCCTCTGGAGTTCAGAACTCATAGAAGCAAGAATGGTATGTTTAATAGCAAGGCATTCTTCCAAGTGTTTCTGATAAACCTTGGTGCCTTGAATATCATTCTCTGGTGGGATTATCTTTGCATGCTTATCGATCACATCAATGAGCTTTTCATGCATGAGAACAATTCTCAAATTTCTATACCAGTCATCAAAGTTTGGTCCCACCAACTTGTTGGTCTCAAGTATTTCACGCAGTGATATAACAGACATATTGAGAAATCTAAAATATAGAAAAGAAAAGGCAATGATATAAGAACATAATTGCATATATCATAAAGACATGGACTTTTATCTAAATGATATTTTTACTAATTATTTTAAACTATTTACCCTCATTATAGTTTACGAAATCTTTATTTCTGTTAGTGGAGTAAAGGAATCCTTTAACAATATGTATGAGCCCCTTGGAAGTGAAGGCGTTTCTCACATATATTTTAAAGGTAGGTACTCTTACCAATTGTATCCTCATACAATTTCCTTAAATAGCTCTATGTCAAATAGTCCCCTGGTAGTCAAGTCGATCCTATTGGCATAGTTGAGTTCAACCATCATGATAGCAAAGAACTTATTAAATTTTATAATTCTTTCAATCCATGCATCCAATGCAATAAATAATTTTAACATATTCTCGAACTATAAGTCTCTTGGTAGTCAGACCGCTCCTTATAAACAAGAAATAAGTAAAATTATTTACTTTGATGGATAGCTCTATAATAAAATATCTTATATTTTATTATTTAAGAACTCAAATTTTAGGAAGAGAGAATTGTTACTAAAACAGTTTTTAATAACATGAAAATCAAATCTTTCATATCATGTGAATTTAGTTCAAGTTGTCTACATGCTTAGTCCTAAATTGATTTACATCACATGTAATAAATAATTCAAAATTATGTGATGAACAAGCATGGGACATAAAAACGAAATTCAACATCTTCTAACATGATTATCTTATATATCACATAAAAAAAATTTATGCTAGAAAACTATTATTAATTAACATCTCATGAACTAATAAAAATTAAAAATAAAAATAGAATCATGTAACTTATTATAGATTCCCGTCGTATCTAATACATAAATTTCAAATTCAAGTTACGAACTATCTCAATATTTTAACTTATATGTATATATATTTTATTCACAATAAAATTATATCAATCCATATGCATTCAAATAATTTGACTATTGCATAAGACATATGTATTATGGTTTGAACTCTTCAAATATAATCTTAAAATATTTTGTAAATAAATTTTAGACACGATAAATCATGGCTCTGATACCACTGAAGGATTGCATATAGGAGTTCGTAATATGCAACGGAAGACAATAACAATCCTAGGAAGATCTTTTCGTGTTTAAAATTTATTTACATGTCAATAAATCGGATCTAAGACATACCTGGTGAAGAAAGTCTCGTTTCAAATTCTTCGATAATGCGAAGACTCTATGCGTATCCACACCGAGACTAATCCTTGCTATCAACTCTTTGATTAATGAAACCCGCGAACAAATTTAATGAAAAACTTGTGCTGAAATTTTTCTCAAAAATCTCAACTCAATGTTAGAAGAACAAGAAACACTTTTCTTGTAATTGTATTTTCTCTCTTGGCTTGTGTTGCACTTTCACTTTCACAAAGTAGTTTTCTTCTCAAGAATTAATTAGCAAATTTTCTTCCATCACCCTTTATATAACATAACCTATAAACTATTTTCCTATTTGGTTGAGGTAATGATTTACTTAGGGTAAAAATTTAATTCAAAAATAAACTTTACGGAAGAAATCGAATCACGTTCCCAAGGGTAACGTGGCTGAAGGTATTTTATGCTAAGTCCAATTGGACTTTCACGCTTGTTCGTCCAATTGAACATTGGACTTTCACTTCCTTATGTACTTTAGGATTCCAATTCCAAATTGGAGAATAAACTAATATTATATACATAACTTTTATATAAATTAATATTATTTGATATTATACATATCACATATATATATCAACCAAGAGATATAATTTAATTTTCTATTCTAAATAGAAAACTTCAATTTGTTCACAATATTAATTATATCCTCTGTGCTAGCAAAGAACATAAATATTTCATATGAACTAATAACTAAATTATTTGACTAATTAAATTCTTTAATTTAATTAACAAATAATAAAGTAATTAATCCTTTAGCAAAGATCAGAACACTCGTTAGTGTGCGACCCTATAGGTTCAATAATAAACTGGTAGTAGATTAATCACATCAATATACTAATCAAGGGTGGCGTCTAGCAACACTCCTTAACAACTGGATAGCATGAAGTATACAATTTACTCTCAAGAACCAGTAAAAGAATAATGTAGTAATTCCTTCTGTCCTTATAGCTCTGGATCACCCTATGATATGGTTCAACTGTCAAATCCTAATAGGCGACCAACTATGTGTTCATGTCAAATATAAGCGATCATTGAATGACCTAAGAAACTCATTTCTTCTTTCATTCAATTGCCCTGGCCAAGGTCTTAATTTGGTCATTTATAATTCATGACAACATGGAGCTTAAACTCATTACCAAGAGTTGACAGATTCCATCTTGATCAATCACTAATTCTACAAGTATTCAATCGTACCCAATATCCTTTCAACTATCGCCCTAGGGCCATAGGTGTCTAGTATTAAAGCACAACAAATAACTTGTCAATTACTATGACGATCTCAGGTCAAAGGAAACTCTTACATCACATTCTTCAAGAGAATATACTATTGACAGTTTATGGTAATTCTAAACATTAGGAATTATCCAATGAGTCGGTTCAACGATCATATCTCTATATGCATCATCTATCTATGTGATTCAGTTAATGGGATCAACTAATCTTTATCCCATAAAGACAATCACATAAATATTGATCTAACCGGATTACTAATGTCCAAATTAATAATCCTACGATCAAGAACAAATTTAGATTAAATTGTATATAATAGACTTTGCTCTCATTATCATGATCTCTATCACGATGACAAATCTCAAAATTTAATCAAGGACCTTATCAAATTAATCAAACAATTAATAATAACTATGATAAAAGAATGACATATATTTTTATATCAAATAACGTTCACAAAAATATGTTCAAATCATCAAATATGAGATTGGATCTAGGGCATATCTAATATATCCCTAACATTAAGCTGGCTAATAAGACATATAATCTACTATAATAGTTAAACATTAAGGTCAGTTGGTTGATGAATAAATTAGAATTATAATGACAAGATTATAATACGAGAATTAAATAATGGGATCTTTACACAAATAGCCGGCGGTATTTATTATTTACTTTTTCTAACCATATACATAAATTATATATTGATTATACATAATAATACATATATAATACATATATTATGTATATATTATACCTCAACCGGCTATTTTTAGTTTAAGTGATTAGGTGGATGGCTATTAGGGTTAAATCTTCTTAAATAATAACAAAATTATATAGTGAATATACTTTTATTGATAAATGTTTAATTTATCGGCCAAAAAAGGGGATATACATGTATAATATAAACTAGGTATCTGGTTTTACATTAGATAAATATAGATAAATTTTTATTTTCAATTTTAGACTTAGATTTCTTACAGAACTTTAGGAATAAAGTCTTCGAAGAAGGGCATCTTGGTCATTTTGGTACCAACATTGAAGGTGGTATAAAAATAATATCACAATTGTAGTATAGCTAATCACAAAATAAAAAATTTAATTAAATACTGGATAAAATAATAATTATCTCGCAAACTAAATGACTCGTGATAGTTATAAAATTATCTTATATTATTAATGCATGAACGTTAAATCCATAATAGAATTATTTTTTTATATTAAAGAAATTCCAAAAGACCTGATGCCGACTTCTCCGACACCCAAAACACGGTTCCCTCTGTGGCACAACGCGTATTATGTACAACAAAGATGCAAGAATACAAAAAAGCATACTGTCAAGTATTTTTCCACTCTTTACACATTAGATCAACAAATTACATTTCTACGTACTCTTTTCCCTCTTAGTACAAGCCAAATGTAACATGACTAGCCAAATACAGGGGCGGAGCTAGATCATTAGGACACGCTCGGACTTGATTTTGTTTAAAATTATTGAATATACAAAAATATTTAATTGTCAATCTAATACTCCATTCGTTTCAAATTAGATGAGATACTTTTCTTTTTAGTCTGTTCCAAAATAATTGACACATTTCTAAATTTGAAAATAATTTAACGTTAAAATCTTCATTTTATCCTTAACGAGAAGCTTTTATAACCACACAAATGTCATTACCCCACAAAGTTTTTACCACTTAAACTTTTATGACCACAAGTTTCAAAAGTATTTTTTTTCTTAAATTTTGTGCTGAGTCAAACGACATCATATGGATTGAAACGGAGGGAGTAATTAAGATGAGATGAGTTTGCTGATTAGTTTAGAACACATAAATTCTATAATTTTGACTGCAATTGAGAGGAAATTAAATTTGGGAACCTTGTAGAACAAGCATCTGACCAGTCTACAACTTGTCACATAAAATCAAAGACCCATCCAAAGGGTTTCTGTTTTCTTTCGCCAGCATGATGTCACTTCATCGCAATATGAACAAATGTGGATGTCAATTCTAAATTATTATAATTTCTTCAACTTTATAAAGATACTAATTATTTTTGGAGAGCTGAGTTTACGCGTAGAGAGATGAGACACTAGACACTGTTTCTTTGAAAGAAAAAAGGATGCAATAACAAAAAGAGAATGAAAGGAAAAATGAAAGATTTGATTCACATTTTTTTCTTTCTAAATTCTTAATGGAGAAAGAACTCAAAAATACAACGCTCGCTTTTGACACATAAGCCATAGATATTCATTCTTTTTCTTTCACAATTTTCACACCTTAATTTCACACCATATATCCCCACTTTCATTTTCCCTACATATAAAACCTTTCTTCTTCTCTCTCCCCAAATCTTTTTCCTCTCCATTTTCTTAACCAAAACTATCTCTCAAAACATCAAGTTCAACCAAACATATATATACCCTTTTTAAATAATCAATCTGGGGTTATTATTATATGGATCCTCATCTTCATCACCATCACCATCAACATCATCAGCAACAACAACAACAAAATCCATTTAGTCTTCAAAGTGTGAATGTAGATACAAGTGGTGGAGGGGTTAATATTGGTACAACTAGTGGAGATAGATTTCCTCAATGGAGTATTCAAGAAACAAGAGATTTTTTGATGATTAGAGCCGAGTTGGATCAAACTTTCATGGAAACTAAAAGAAACAAACTTTTATGGGAAGTCATAGCCACAAAGATGAAAGACAAAGGTTACAATCGTAGCCCTGAACAGTGTAAATGCAAGTGGAAAAATCTCGTTACGCGCTATAAGGTACTGGTTTCTCTCTTTTAATTTTATTAAATAAACAAACCTTAAATAAATATATGAAAGAATAGTATTAGGTTTCTTTCTGAGAAAGTCGTCACTAGCTAGCATCGGGGATGCAACTTTTCTTTTCTCCAGTATTTCAACACGAAATATAAATATATGTATGTTCAAAAAACAAAAAATTTAAGATATGTATTATATTTAATTCTGAACTTATAATTAAAAAAATACAATATATTCAGGCGATAACTGATCTCAAAGATTAAAGTAGTTTAAATTTTGGATCTGCGAGTGCATTAAATATTTGTTTTTATCTTGATGAAGACACTTCAAATTCTTTAAGGGTTGTTGAGTTTCTTACCAAGTTACCATCTTTTAAGATCTTTTTCAAAAGAAGTATATATAGTTATGTCTTTCATTATATTTTTTTAATAGGGATGTGAAACGCTTGAACCAGAAGCTCTACGACAACAATTTCCATTTTACAACGAGTTGCAAGCGATTTTCGCGGCTAGGATGCAGAGAATGCTGTGGATAGAGGCAGAAGGTGGCGGCGGGTCGAAGAAGAAGACTATTTCTCAGCTGTCTTCTGATGAAGAGGAAGAAAATGAGGATAGTGAAGGAGAAAAAGTAGTTGGTATAACAAAAAAGAAAAGAAAGGTGAAGGGAAATAATGTTAACATTGTTGGTAGTAGTTCTAGTGGTGGTAGTGGGAATTTAGTGAATAGTTTTAAGGAGATTTTGGATGATTTCATGAAGCAACAAATGGCAATGGAAATGCAATGGTTAAAAGCTTATGAAGCAAAGGAAGAAGAGAGGAGAATAAAGGAAATGGAATGGAGACAAACAATGGAGGCATTAGAAAATGAGAGGTTAATGATGGAAAGAAGATGGAGAGAAAGAGAAGAACAAAGGAGGATTAGAGAAGAAGCTAGAGCTGAGAAAAGGGATGCACTTATTACAGCTCTTTTGAACAAGCTTAGAAGAGAAGATCACAACATGTAACCTTATCCTTTCGCCGATAAAATTGGAACGATACAGAGAAGATTGACATATAACCCTATTAGGGTATAAAGGAAGTGGAATATTAGCTAGCTCTAGCTAATTAGACTAACTGCTTTCTTGATTAAATTTTGCTGATGATCATGTTCTGGGGGAAGTTTAAAAGAAGATAAAATGAAGCCCTTTGATCAGAGGTTTGTCTTGAACTTACTCTTCTTGTAGTACTGAAACACAAACATAATGCTCCATGCATTTCATGTCTCTTCTTTCCTTTTGCAAGTTATAAAATTTCTTATTTCTTGATCTTTATGTGCTCTTGAGGTTTAATTATTATCTTGCATTTCTTAGTTATATCCTAGTATGCAAAGCAACTTACTTTCTTATGTTTAAATTTTTTTGAGGAAGATAGTAATAAAAATGATACTTCCTCCATTTGTTTTATTTTATGTGATATTCTTTTATTTTAGTCCGTCTTGATTATTCTTTATATTTATAAATAATTGAATTTTAAAATTTCCATGCAATAGAGGGACACATAATTCCAATTCAATGGTCCTTCGTTTGTCTTTCTATTCTAATTTTCTTTGTTTTATCGATGGTAGAATTAAGGCTTCATTTACTTGGATGAATCCAATACAACGGTTCATGGTATAAACTTAATTACCATTTGAATAGCTGGTGATACGCGTAAATGGAAAGTCAAACTTTGGACTTGGAGCATTTCAGATATTGTTACACCTTTTTCCTGGTGATAGGCTGTCTAGATACTTGTAATGATTGCCCAATCTTTTTGCCAAAGTTTTTAAAACTAGATCTCATACATTTAACTATTTATCATTTTCACCCTTGGCGGACCCAAATTTTAAGTTTATAAATTTTGAAGAGTGATGGAGTTAGAGTATGTTGTACGAGTTCAAACGAATCCAATGACTTTTTTTATATCTTATATTTGTATTAGAAAATTTATGATATATGCATAAATATTTAGTTGTGAAACCGGTTATTAAGACGATCGAGAGCTATGGGTTCGATGCAAGTAATTAAGAACCCACAAATTAAACTTTAAATCCTGAATCTGCCTCTAGTTCTGAACCCGCAATTTTGTTTGCTTACCGGGTTCGAAATAAATTCCTTATACATATCAAGTGAATTTCTTAATATAAGTACAACATCTAAGCCAAAACTATTAGGTTCTGCCGAACTCATAACTTATGTAAATCCGCCCGTGATATTGGACATGCTGGATACAACATCTAATAACTCGAAAACAGTTCTTGTAATTCCCCTGTTCATTTTATATAATACCTTTTAGAATAAAATCTTTGATACTTGAAAACTCTTTAATTCTAAAGACCTTTAGTATGTATCAAAAAAAATTCTTTCTTACTTTTAAAAATTTGTGCCCAATTAATCAAATACTACCATATAAAATAAAGTGGATGTAACATAACTTTATAGATTTTATGTAGATCCTTAATGGTGCATTATGCAATCCTTTAGTTATTGTCCATTAATTTTAACATGCATTAATGATGGAGAGATCAAGTTATTCTTATCTTTCCATGTTTGTTCTATGAATAAAATTAAAAGACCAAGTACTTTCCTTACTTTATATGATTGATTGCTAAGATATTGTGCATCTTAATTCAATGTCTAGGTTACCCTATTCTGCTATTCGTATCTTATTAATTATTTCGTTTTCAAGGTATGAAGAATAAATAAACAAATAAGAAAAATCCTTGTGTTGGTTCATGTATGCTTGCACATAAAAACCAAAGTAGGGAAACAGACCAATCAATTAATTAATACTCAATGACACAACTATTTGCTTCTGTTACAAAATATGATGCAATGCATGTATCTCTTTCTTGGGAAACTAATTTGTTCAGAGTTATGTTGTTACTTTTAACAACTTTCTTTTTTGGTTTTCTTATTCTTTCATCCAAATATAGTTTAAGTTGTTACATGCACCCATATTTATTTGTGAAATTTCAAGTTACATGGTGCTTTGTTCGTCTATTTAGTTCAAGCAGTTAGTACATATACACTTTTTTTCCTTTTCCTCTGTTGGTATCTGGGGCGAAAAAAGAAAAGAGAGGGATGAGTCTTGCTTTTGGTGTTACAGCCCCCAGTGGAGGCTTGCATGACGGCCCATAATTGGATCAGTAGTAGAGCGCGCCTCCGATAATTGTATCATTGTGTCTGGGTTGTGAGGGCTCTCAGCCATGAATAGTTCAATGTCTATCGGCGTCGATTTTCTCATAAATTTGAGTCTGTTGTTTTTAAATTATCAAAGAGAATTACACATATATATGTGGGATGAAATTACCCCAGGCAGTTCTGTGATTTAATATAGTGTGATTCTTTTCCTTTTACTTTGTAATTACCACGTTGATGAGGAAACTTCTGGATATGATCGTGCATGAATATAAATCGTACCAGATTATACGAGGCCAAGGAATTGAAATTTATATATTGATTTTGTGTTCAAATGGAAGGAGAAAAAGCAATTTGATATTGCAACTTGATGGAATTGTAGTTACGTTATTCCACTACCAAATTGTGCAGTTGAACTAAGCAATTTGATTTCTTTCTCCTACGATGGTTCACACTCGAATTTTTGTTCTTTGTCATCATTATTGCATACGTGAGATATCAATTAAATTGTTATCTCTTTAACAATTATTTCAAAACTATTGTCACCCATCAACAAAAATATCCTTACATATTTGACCCGACAAAAAGAGTTATAGTTGCAGTTTATCATCACGCATCAACAAAAAATTATACATGTTACTATTTTTATTTTGTCTAAGTAATGTACGAATCAAAGCGTTTTATTATCGTACTTGAGTATTGTCAATCACCCTACGGGTTAAAGGTGAGTTTTATTGCTTGAATAATTTCCTATTTGTTGCATAATACTAATGAATATATGCAAGCAACTCTGCTGGAATGTTGATGAATTAAGCAATTAATATTGAAACATTTCACATGACGTATATACCTAACATGCAACATGTTTGGTCTTGAATATAGGCCAAATTGTGGGCACAACGTTAGTCACCTTTTCTACCTAGCCTAAGTCTATTTCTCTTTATAGACGCTAAGGCAATTTTTTTTACCCATTTAAGAGGGATTTGATAGTATAGTGGAACTTGTAATATCCTAGGCTAATTTAAATCAGCAAAACGCGAGAGATATTGAGTGCATAAGGAAGCAATCCTCAGATTCTAGCGGCACATTTTAAAGTCGTGCAAGTCAACGCTCAAAGCAGACAAGTATCACTAAATACAATGGGCTGAAAAACATATACTCCCTCCATTTTAATTCAGATGACATATTTCGCTTATCGAAAGTCAAACCGTGTGAAATTTGACCAATATTTTTAAAAAGTATTTTCTAATGATATTGACATAAGAAAAATTGCAACTTATAGCATTTTCCGTATTGTTTTTAAATATCTAATTTTTAATTTTAAAATATTTGAGTTCAACTTATCCAATTTAGCTTCAAAGTTTAGTCAAATTGACTCTCGATAAGCGAAATGTGTCATCTAATTTGAAACAGAGGGAGTAGCATGTTTGGCCAAGCTTCTAAAATTAGCTTTTGAAAAGTATTTTTCTCAAAAGTGTTTATCAAAAAAAGTACTGTGGTGAGAAGCAATTTATGTTTGGTTAATTAATTTAAAAAATAATTTTGAGCAGTATTTAATATTTGGTCAAGCTTTTAAAAAGTACTTTTAAGTGTATTTTTTTCAAAAGTACTTTTCAAATAGTACTTTTAGGGAGAAACTATAGTTTTTTGCTTCTCAAAAACTATAGTGTATTTTTCTACTTTTACTCAAATCACTTTTTTCCTTCTAAAAATTTGGCTAAATAAATACCTTAACTTTATAAACAAGCACTTTTGCCCAAAATATTTTGGCAAAAAAAAAAGGAAAAAAAAAGTTTGACCAAACAAGCTAATAATAACCTTGTATCCTTGTGTTGAGTGGGTTGCAACCTACTGGGAATGCAACCTTGGTGTTGAGTTGGTTGGACCCACCGTTGAGAGATGTTGGATATATGAGGAAGCTAACCTTGTATCCTAGTGACTTATTAGTGAGCCAAAATAGATCAAAACAATGAGACATATAACAGTGGTGGATCAAGAGTATAGTACGTGGATTCTCGAAAACCCAGTAACTTTTGTATATATTCTGTATTTTTATTAAAAATTCACTAAATATTTATAAATATCTAATTGTGAATCTAATTATTATTGAATATTAATTTGAGATTACGACAGAAACTCATACACTTTAAATTTTGAATTCGCTTCTGTATATGAAGAGGTTAACTGAAAATCAGACATGTGTTAGAGGTCCTTTTGAACTTGTCTTGGCAGCAGGGACCCAAGAGAATGTTATGAACCGACTTTCGGTTAGATTTGAAGTGCTGACATTTATTACATGTTATGGTCAAACTTGAAAATATAGTCACTTTATGATCAAGATTGGTCAAAGGTCCAATGCATTGGCTATTCTTTAATGACTTTCTTGTTCTAGTTTGCTTTTCTCCTTTATTTTCTCCGATGTTTTTGTGTTACCCAACGGTATTTTTTGTTTTGTTATTCTTTCTTTAATAAGCAATGACCTCATTCACCTATCAACCAATCCATTCTATTGACCAGATTACCGTTGGATAAATGACAAATTCATATTTTTGGTGTTAATGGAAAGAATCTCATACAATATTTTTCTCACCAAAGCTTAGGCAGATAAGACAAAATCTTCTAATATATTTTAATCTCGATTGAAATTTGAACAAAAGATCTCATGTCTCCTTTCACTTTATTAACCACTCGGTCAACGCTACTCTTAGTAAATCTTGATTTGTTCTTATTTTCAATTTACATCATAGTTTGAATGAGTATAGAATGTAAGAAAGAAAGGAAGATGTTAGAAGTTAATTTGTGCTCTTAAACATGCATAATATCGGTGTGAATAGAGAATTTTTGAAATCCGTAGTGATCTATTGAATATGTCGTAATATTTGTGTGGTTACAAAGTTTTTTTAAGGGCAAATAGAAAGTTTAAACTAAATTATTTATAAATTTATAAGATGCTAATTTTTTTTAAACAGACTAATAAAAAATAGTGTCATAGATAAAATAATAACAAAAAATTAAAAGTTTTTCAGTAAAATGACAAACCCATATTTTCTTTCGTTTGGATTCCAATGCTTTTCATTATTCTTCATCGTTTTTATTGTGGTCAAATCATATCCCTTATGCCTCGATAGAGTGCAGCTAGAATTAAAATCAACACCCAATTAATTCTAGCATGAAACAATAGCTATTGATTATATTTAGGTAGGGTAGATAATGTTGGTGTTATCCAATGATTAGAGCAATATTTGTTTCGTGTAGATTGAACTCTCTTCCCCTTGGGTACTAACACCTAACAAGAAAGTAAGTAGAAATAGAAAAAATAAATAATACATACAATTAAATAATTAAGTGAACGTCTAGTTAGGTAATGCTATAAAATATATTCACGGGATACGGAAAAACAAAGAAATGGTAAGTACTTTACACCTTGTTTCGGAAACTAGAATAAAAGGAAAGTAAAATAAACATTATAGTTGAGCTTATTTTTGTTTGATTTGACTAGATGAAAATGAAAGATATTAAACAAAAAAGGACATGTTTTCTCTTAACAGCCCCTTCCCCACCAAAATGAAAAAAACATTGGCATATTGTGACCATGCGATAAAAAATGGATATCAATTCCATACTTTGTCCTTTTACTGGACTAGGCAGGATACTAATAAAGTGGATCACTTTCTTGTTCGGCTAGCTTTTATCGTATGCAACTCGTATAACTTGAAATTTATCCATCATATTTAGCTTCTATTCATACTTCTCATTTACATAACAGAAATGTTTCTTTGATGTAACTATATTTTGGCTTGGTTATTTAATAAATATTTGTTGTCTTCAAAAAAAAAAAAAAGTCATCGAAGAAATTAGTGACATATAGTCACTAGTCAATACAAAAATTGGATATTTACACCTAATTATTTACCATAAATAAATGACAAATTAAAGTCAGAATATGTATTAAATAATTATAAATAAGTGATAACCATATTTGTGAAGATATGTGTAATATATTTTATTGAGCTTTTTTTTCCAGGAAATTCTATTGAATTAGTATAAGCATTCAAGGAGGTACATGCAATATTAAAAGAAAAATACGGTGTTGTACGAAAATGAGAGAGAAACATATATCAGCAATCAACATCCATATATAGCTTTATGCACGGTCATAATCTCTGGTTTATTCTTTTTTTTTTTTTTTTTTTTTTTTTTTTTTGGTTAACGGTTATTATTTCAAATTTCTTGATTTCGAAGAATTCGATAAATAGATATTGGAATATTTTCAATGACAACTACTCATATCATAGTGGTTATCTAAGGCAAAGAATGGAATTCATGCCGCTCTGTTCCAATGCCTACCTTCAGTTATCTAGATTTGAGAATTTACACATTGTTGGGTAGATTTGTTATTATGCAGAACCATGACCATGCTCCTAGTCAGTCTATTTCCTAAAGTGCAACTGCCTTTTGATTGGCTTGAATTGTGCAATGTAGTGGAGAAGGCAAAACAAAGTATCATCAGCAAAATGATAAGATGGGTGAAACCTGACTCTGGATGGCTGAAGCTAAACATAGATGGTTGTCGTAAAGAAAATTCGAGAAGTGCTGGCGGAGGTGGTATTATCTGAGACAACCTTGGACGCTTTATTTTTGCATATGCTGAAAACTATGGTAAATGTAGTAATAATATGACTGTGGCTATAGGAAACATGGAATGAATTTATGCATTGAGAGGGGTTTTCTCTATGTGATATCCGATTCCAAATTGAATATTGATATGATTAATAACAAAATGAAGGCACCCTGGCAGCTCCAACATATTATAGACTTGTAGAAATTTAGGAGAATTCTTCTCTTCTATTGAATGAATGATATGTTGTACATAATACCTATTTTATACAGTAATTTGGGAATAAACCAGGTACAATTTACAGTTATACAAAAATACAAGTGTCTAATTCTTAATTGTTGTCCTATTTCATATTTGCACTGTGATATGTACAACTATATTAAAAAAAGTGGACTGAATCTTTAAACAAAAAAAGGGCCAGACCTTAGCTTGTATTTTGGGCTTTTGAGTTGTGTGTTGGGCCAATTGATACTATTGGCCCAAAAGTGATGCAGCCCGATATACCTAAATCAAAATATGCTGGTCTTCTGCTTTCTAGGCCATTTGATACATATCTTATCTCTTTCTTTCTTCGTCTTCTTCGGTTGTGCCTTCTTGTGTTGACCAACTTTTTGATTTAGGAGCCAAGATTTCAGATTCTGGTCCAACACCCCCCTTCAAGTTGGAGGGGTGACAAAACAACCCCAACTTGGAGACAATTGCCCTGTGAAGAGGACCCGAAAGTGGCTTTGTAAGGATGTTGGCGAGCTGCGATTTTGACTTAACAAACGATAAGGAGATCAGTCTGGCGAGGAATTGTTGACGGACGAAGTGACAATCAATTTCCACGTGCTTTGTGTGCTCGTGGAAAACAGGGTTTTTTGCTATGTGAATAGCCGCCTGGCTATCTGAATGAAGAGAGACCGGTAAGGTGGGTGAAAACGAGATATCCGTAAAAAGGAGAACAAGCCATGTCAGTTCTGAAACGACCTTCTTCATAGATCTATATTCGGCTTCGGCAGAGGAAAGTGAGATGGAAGATTGTTTCTTTGATTTCCATGAAATAGGGGATCCACCGAGGTTGATATAAAAGCCATTGACTGAGCGACGAGAGTCCGGACAAGACCCTCAATCGGAGTCGCAAAAAGCTGTTAATTGAAAAGAAGGGGCTGAATTCATAAAAAACCCATGTGATGGCGAAGACATTAGATAACGGAGAACGTGTAATCCGACAGTAAAATGAGGTTGACGGGGGCTTTGCATATATTGGCTTAGATGCTGAACTGCGAAGGAGAGGTCAAGGCAGGTATAGGTTAAAAAATTGAGCTTTCCTAATAGTCGCCTGTAGATGGTTGGGTCTGTAAGAGGTTCGCCAACATCCGCTCGAAGCTTGCAGCTAGGATCTAGTGGAGAGGAGGCTGGTCGTGAATCAAGAACACCAAACTCAGAAAGAAGTTCCAAGGTGAACTTTCTTTGACTGATAATCAGTCCATGTTGTTCTCGTAATATTTCCATTCCTAGAAAATAATTAGCTTCTCCAAGATCTTTAATTTTGAATTTTGAGTCGAGGAAGTCTTTTAGATTAGAAAGTTCTGAAGGGTCATCACCTATGAGAAGTATGTCATCGACATAAACAACAACAATAGAAATTCCAGTATCTGTCTTCTTAAAAAATAAAGAATAGTCGTTAAGAGAGTGAGAATATCCTTTGAAATTGAGTGCACCAGTGAGTCGTGCGTACCATTGTCGGGAAGCCTGTTTGAGGCCGTATAAGGACTTTTTAACTTGTAAACATGATTATTAAAAGGTGAAGGCAATCCCGGGGGGAATCTCATGTACACTTCTTCCTGTAGATCACCGTGAAGAAAGGCATTATTGACATCTAATTGAAATAATTTCCAATTCATTTTAACTGCAACAGCTAAAATGCATCTAACAGTGGTCATCTTCACCACTGGACTAGAAGTCTCAGTGTAGTCTATTCCTTCCCTTTGTATGTCCCCGCGGATAACTAGTCGAGCTTTGAATCTTTCAATGCTTCCATCAGATCTATATTTAACCTTATAGACTCATTTACAAGGTAAAGGTTTCTTGCCTCTCGGTAGTTCAACCAGTTTGATTGGTTTCCAATGCTTGAAGTTCTTTTGCCATTGCCTCCTACCCACTAGGATGTAAAACTGCCTGGGAGAAACTTGTAGGTTCAATGATGTGAGAGATAGAGTTAAGAAATGATTGGTTTGTAGGAGAGAGGTCTATGAAATTCATAGTAGTAGGTGAGATTGGTACTGCAAGACAAAAATTAGTTAGATTAGTCAAGTGCACAACATTACATACATAATCTGCCAGATACGATGGTGGATTGTATTCTCTAGTAGACCTCCTTAGTTCAGGTTGAAGTGGAATGGAAGGTGGAGAGGAAATGATTCTTGAAAGAGGAGAAGAGTTAGGAGATGTGCTAGGTGACCAGAATTTGAAATGGAAGAAAATTGGATATCAGATTAAGAGGGGTGATTTGAGTCTTGAATAATAGCAACTTCTTTAGGAAAATGGGTGGTTCAGATGAAGGAGAAAAAAATAGGAATATTTCCTCATAAAAAACTACATTTCGTGAAATAAAATGTCCCTAGAGTGAAGATCCAACAATTTGTAGCCTTTCTTTCCAAAAGGATATCCTAGAAAAAAACATTTTATTGATCGAGGCTCAAGTTTGGCTCTGTGATGAGGTAAAGTAGAGGCATAACATAGACAACCAAAAGTTTTTAGAAAATCATAAGATGGAACTTTTCCAAATAGAATTTCAAAAGGTGTTTTGAAGTCAAGCACTCTAGAAGGAAATCGATTTATTAGAAAAGTAGCAGTTAACAAGCAATCACCCAATACATGGTTGGGAGATTAGATTGAAATAATAAAGCTCTGCATGTTTCTAGTAGATGTTTGTGTTTTCGCTCAACTACTCCATTTTATTGTGGTGTAGCAACACAAGAGGTTTGATGAAGGATTCCATTAGAAGAAATTTTTTTTGAAAGAATAGATCCTGATCCTAATTCCAAAGCATTATCTGAACGAATGATTTTAACTTTTGTGGAAAACTATCTTTCTACCATAACTAGAAAAGATTTTAGAACTGGAAAAGCATTACTTTTTGTTCTTAATAGGTAAGTCCAGGTTCCTCTACTATAGTCATCGACTATAGTCAAGAAATATCTGTAACCGTCATGAGTTGGGACCTTGTAAGGCCCCCAAGTATCAACATGAATTAATTAAAAAGTTGAACTTGTGTTGATGTTACTTGAATGAAAAGGCAACTTTGCATGCCTAGCTTAAGAACATACATCACAAGGATGATTAAATTTGGCAAGAGAAGGAAAATGAAAATGGGATATATTTTGCATACTAGGTAGAGGCATATGCCCCAATCTTTTGTGCCATAGGCTTACATTAGAGTTGACTCTAGCAGTACAAGAAACTAAATGAGACATAATGTCTTTCCTAAGGTTCTTGCAGTCTGAATAAGATTGAAAAACTGATTGATCTTCACAAACTAGACCTGAACTTAAAGAAACTGATTTAAGTAGATATAGACCTTCCTTCACTTCACCAACTACCACTGGCCTCTTCAGTGAATGGCCCTGCAAGAATGTACCAAAAGATGAGAAAAGTAAGGTACACATGAGTTTTTTAGTGAGTTTGTGAACTGAAATTAGATTAAACTTGAAATCTGGAACATATAACACATTATTTATGGTTAAATCTGGCAGAACATGCACACTACCAACTTGACTGACCTTGACTTTATATGAATTTGGGAGATTTACGTATAGAGATTTGGTTATAGGCTTGACATTAAATAAAATGGAATAGTCAAAAGTCATATGTTCTGAAGCTCCATAATCTATTATCCAGGAGGTAGAATTCATGTTAAGAAAACAAGAAAGACAATATAGATTAGGAGTATTGATTATTTTACCAGCACAGTTGGCACTGGCATTTGCATCAGAAATACGCCCATCCTGTTGCACCTTTACTTGTTGAAGAAGTTGATAGAGTTGACTGTATTGTTCTTGAGTTATGCCTTTCCCTGCTGTATTTTCTCCCACTGTACTTGCTGACTGAGTTGTGTTTTCTTCATGCTTGATGGCTGCATTGTTGTGAGGTCCTCCATGATACCTTTTTGATTTGGTGAACTTGAAAGTGGAGGGAAACCCAATAATTCTGTAACATTTGTCGATAGAATGACCGGGTTTCTTGCAATAGTTGCATACCAGGTTATTCTTCTTCCTTTCAAGATTTTCTTTGAACTTTCCTTCTCCATTAGCATACCTTTGAAAATGTGCTTGCTGATTTCCTGCTAGAAAAGCATTTTCTACTGGATGTTGTGAAACATGAATTTCTCTTTGTTTCTCATCTTGAATGAGAAGAGAATAGGCTTGATTGACACTAGGAAGAGGGGTAAGCATCAGAATATTGCTCCTTACAGCTAAATATATATATCATTAAGTCCCATGAGGAACTGGATGAGCCTGCCATCTTGAAGAGACTTTGAAGTTCTTGACTTTCCTCCACAGTTGCATTCACAAGCAGAATGCACACAAGTGTTCAAGGTATCTAACTCATCCCAGATCCGTTTCACCTTTGTATAATATTCTGCTATGTCAGATGTTCCTTGCACGACATCACTCAACTTTTTTTGCAACTGATAAAGTTGAGCACCATTACACTGTCCAAATCTAACTTCAAGTTCTTTCCAAATGTCATTTGTAGTTTTAGAATAAAGGACACTTTCAGCTATGTCCTTGGATAGAGAGTTCAAAATCCATGATATAACCATATTATTGCAATGGTTCCACTGTTTGAAGTCAGTGGAAGAAACATCTGGTACTGAATATGTTCCATCGATGAAACCAAGTTTGTTCTTGGCAGATAACGCAATAATTATGGCTCTACAACAACCTCAATATCCTTTTCCATCAAAAACTGAATTGACAAGAACCATTCCTGGTGAATCGGATGAATGCAGGTAATAGAGGTGAGTGGAATCGATTACCATGGCAATTGGTTGAGCAACTGTGCCAGCTGCAGAAACATTTGAAGAATCATCTATGGAGTTTGGTGCCATTTCAAAAAAAAGAGAAGATAAGACAATTTAAGAGAAGAAGAATCTGAAAGAAATGTATAAGATAGCTATTAGGAGAATTCTTCTCCTCTATGAATGAATGATATGTTGTACATAATGCCTATTTTATATAGTAATTTGGGAATAAACTAGGTACAATTTACAGCTATAGAAAAATACAAGTGTCTAATTCTTAATTGTTGTCCTATTCATATTTGCACTATGATATGTACAACTATACATTGCATTTGGATTCTTAAATCTGGAAGGGTTAAGTATGCCTTCCAGCTGTATCCATTGTGCTACATTAAAAAAATGGACTGAATCTTTAAACAAAAAAAGGGCCAGACCTTAGCTTGTATTTTGGGCTTTTGAGTTGTGTGTTGGGCCAATTGATACTATTGGCCCAAAAGTGATGCAGCCCGATATATCTAAATCAAAATATGCTGGTCTTCTGCTTTCTAGGTCATTTGATACATATCTTATCTCTTTCTTTCTTCATCTTCTTCGACTGTGCCTTCTTGTATTGACCAGCTTTTTGATTTAGGAGCCAAGATTTCAGATTCTGGTCCAACAAGACCAGATTGTTCAACTCTCTAGCAAAGGTAATTTCGTTATTGCCCATACTTTCAGAGAAGGAAATACAGTGGCTGATCAACTAGCTGATTTGGGAGAATCAATAAGATGTCAGATTATAATGGATGATACTAGTTCTCTATCGGATATAGTGCAATCCTTACTGAAGCTGGATCAAGATGGCATCCCAAATTTCAGATTTAAGCCAAAGAAGAACCATTTTGTTATTAATTATGCCAATTCTAGATAATTTTGCACATTGTATAGTGCTGCTAACTATAGGCATCGTATCCAGTAGTTTAGAGCTTAATTGTCAAATTGTTATGGAGGCAATCTCCCAAATTAGGCAGAGTTCATGGCATCTGTTGTTCACAAGGATAATTTATGTCATTCCTCACCATGTTCTGGAAGCTATGATCTATGTCCTTCTCCGTATATTAGTTCTTTTTGATAATATACGAGTCGGGGTCTATGCCTAAACCCCCCACTCCCGCCATGGTGGACTTTTGATTTAAAAAAAAGATATTCAAATATTTTCCGTGAAAATGCATTCCTTGAATTTAAACTAAAAATTATCTAACGAAAAATAGATTCCCTGAGAATTGGCTGGGCTAAGTTCAATTACCTGAAATGGGCCGCTCTCTTATGGGCTAGTCCAATTTCAATTACTGAAAGGGGTGAATTGTGGGAGAAATTCAAAAATAGCCAGATTTACAACTAGTCGTTCAAAAATAGCCCAGTTTCAAAAGTAATCGAAATTTAGCCACTTTTCATGTAAAGATAAATCTGAGCGAAAACACTGTTCAAAACCCGAAAAATACGTCAGTATATTATACTGGAGTTCCAGGATAAGTATGCTGGAATTCCAGCATAATATGATGGAGTTCCAGCATAAGTACACTAGAACTCCAGCATAATATACTGGAGTTCCAGCAAGTATAATTGTCCAGTATAATATACTGGAGTTTGGAGCACCGGTGCTCTAGTCTCTAGTATATTATACTGGAGTCAGCAAAGTATATCGGTCCAACATAATATGCTGGAGTTCATACACATGTGCACCGAACTCCAGTATATTATGTTGGACCAGTCTCTATTGCAGCAAAATAATGGCTATTTTTTATTGACTTCATAAATGCTGGCTATTTTTGAATAACCAGTCCAAAAACTAGCTATACTGTGCTATTTTTATGTGAATTGCACGACTAGACTAGTTTTGTGCTGCTATTCAGATTTTGTCCGTTTGGACAACTGTGTAAAAATGGCCTTTTTAAGTTTAATGAGAAAACTTTGGACTAAGTACACTTTTGTGACATCAACTCCTCCGTTAACTCAGCAAACTGAAGGCTTAAGGGTTCGTTTGGTACGTGGGATAAGGTGGTATAAAGTGTGATATTAAATTTATATTATATTTGAGTAACGTATAAATTTATCCCATCAACCAAACTAGTATAAATTTAGTTTCAGACTTAATCCTGAATATTCCATCTTATCCCATCAAACTTTGCATTATTTTATCCCATCTTTTAGGTGTGATAAATTAGTCTAGGAATTATAATCACCGGGTAAAAGACAAGACCATGATTAATTGATTTTTTATAATTCGGCCTTTAAGAAAAAAAAAAGAACATTCGGCCTTTTATATGCAACAAGTATTGATAAATGGAGCTGGAATAGAGGGAATTTTGGAAATGTTGGAACATATACTTCCTATAAAAGTTTTTTTTAACCATAACAAGGGGAATCTTCGTTATGGAGATGGAAAATTCCACAAAATTCAAAATCTACTGTATCAGTAATAGACAAGTAATATACTAATATTCGTATCAAAGATGTACGTTTAATTTGTAAAAGAAAGCAATCTAATAGTTGAAATCATAAGTTATTTTACATATATTTGTTAAATTATTCACAAATTAGCTGCTTGTTAAATTGTTCACAAAATATTATGGATTTGCATGACTTTGAGTTGTATTCCTTCTACCTATCTTATTCAATTATTCAGAAAATTCTATCCAAGCGGCATGAGTTTGTCCTCTATTCATTCTACTTATCTTGTTTAACTGTTCACAAATTCTATCAAATTGGCATAACTTAATACTATTTTCATTCTACCCATTGTAACATATTTCATTGTTATTTTTTGCACTAGACATCTACGACCCAATGCTTCTATAAGAGTCATGTCCTTCCTAATTTTCAAGAGAAAATGAAAGATCGCTCCATAATTCGTATACCAACGGCTATGAATTCTTTAACACCTTTATGAGAAACTTGGTAATTAAATGCACAAAAATATCGTAATGCTTCGAATACAAATGCTAATTGTTAAAAAAGCTAAAACAGAAACAGATTTAACAAAAGTCTTTTTGCGTCGTCTTGCTTCAAACGATGTGTGGAGGCTTCATAATGAGTGTACGGGGTAAAATTGGTTGATAATAGATGATCGAATGGTAACATGAAACGTGAAATCGAATATAGGCAAAGACGAGTCGGAAACAACCAATACTGCATACAACGGGTGTGGCCGGTACCGGATAAGTTCCGAATTGAACGTAGTCGACAGTAGGAGTTCAAAGGTTTGTCGTCAGATAGTATTCAATGAGAGAATATTCGTTAATATTAAATAAGCGACCGTTGCAGAGAATATTTGCATTCAAAACTTGCTGCTACATGTTTATCAATGATTCTTTTATTATCATTTAAGAGTAGTTTGATCCTAGGATCTTGTTTCCGTAGGTAGAGCTATAAATAGCGGAACAACAACCATTGTAAGAACATAAAACCTTCTACACAAAAAGGCTATACTTTACTATTTTGCTCTTAATTTAACAACTTTATCATCGCTTTCATATTATTTCCGCCTCTGCTCTCGGAAAAGCTGCGTTTGGGATCAAGCTTTTTATATTCTTTAATTTCAGTTGTTAAATCTTAGTTCTAATCTTATTTTCCTCTTCTTTTTTCGGATCAAATCAGTTCGCTTGTCTATAAATTATGTAAGAAATTTAACTGTACCATTTTAAGGGTAAACTGTTTGGCGTCTACCGTGGGGCATAGATAATTGCATAACTGCTTTGATTCATTCATTTATGACTAACTAGTTTTGATTCTTTCGTTAGTAAAAACCAGACATGGCAGCTAATGATGTCAACAACACATACAATATTGAGGCAAGCGAAGAATTATCCTAACATCAAGACTCAATCGGCGAGACTCGCAACAAAGGGGATGAGACGACCCAGGTTTGAGAGGGTCAGTACCGTCGGCATGTGCGGGAACCAACTCCCAATGATGCGGAGGAGGAACACGCCGTGGAAACGATCAAACTCCTGAGGGAACAACAGAAAGCAATTATGATCACCTCTCAAGGCAGGATCCGGTGATGACCGAGTTAAAACAAGCATTGTCAGGCGCCTCCAATTACGCAAACGGAAGGGGCCCGATTCCTCCCAGTGTTCCTGCAAATCAAATGGCTCAGAAAGTCGCTAACAACACCCCAAGGGGTGAAGTCGATTTCGACGACGCCCGAGGGACCGGTAGCAGATCTGGAATAACAATGGGAGTGATCCTTTCAAAGCCTAGCTCATGAGATTCCTGAGAGAAATAAACAAACAAATGGATTAGAATGCGAAGGAGTTTCACATTCGGATGGATTAAATTTCGAGCGCGCTACCAGTACTAAAGGGTCAAAATTAAAAAAAATACACACAGTTCCGTTTAAATCGAGTGCAGCACCAGAACTAATTTCGAAGAGGTTCAAGATTCCGGATATTCCAAAATATGATGGGACTTCAGATTGGAATGAGCACATCACAACTTACACCAGGGCAGTGAAAGGAAACGATTTGGCTCAACATGAGATCGAGTCGGTCTTGTTGAAGAAGTATGGTAAAACCCTCACAAAAGGGGCCTTGACAGGGTACTCTCTCTTACTCAAGCATTCAATTGATTCTTTTGAGATGCTTGCAGACTCATTCATTAAGGCTCATGTCGGAGCACGAAAGATTTAGGCCAGAACGGCGGACATATTCAGAATTGCGCAGGGCAAATTCGAAATGTTTCAAGAATTTGTGATTCGGTTTCAGAGAAAAAGGATGTTGCTACTGGCGGTTCCAGATGAGTGGAGGCATTCACAAAGGGTCATAATCCACTGAGCTCTAATGCCTCCCGGAAAATAAAGGAGAGCTTGCTTGAGCTTTAGGCAACTATATGGGCAGATATCCATAACCGTTATGAGTCAAAAACACGGATAGAAAACGAACAGCTTGGGTCTTCGGTATTAACCAAGGGATGGAGTCGAGACAAAAATAAGGACAAGTTTAAGAGCGACTTTAATGTAGATCGACGGTCTTCTAGAGATCGATTTCTACTATACGAGAGGACTAATAGGCGCAACAACAAAGGGTTTCAGGCATCGGATATGTTTG